GGATGGATGGATGGAGGGATGGATGGATGAGTAGATGGATGGATGAGTGGATGGATGGATGGATGGGTGAATGGATGGATGGGTGGATGGATGGATGGATGGAGGGAGGGAGGGAGGGAGGGATGGATGGATGGATGGATGGATGGATGAGTGGATGGATGGATGGATGGATGGATGGATAGGTAGACAAACAAATGGACAGGTGAGCAATTGGCTGCATTTGGTTGGGTAACTATAGCTGGGCAAATGGATGATGGAGAGATGGCTGGATGGCCAGAGGCAGTGCTGAGCTGATAAATACTTACCAACTGGGTCTCCAGGATACAAGCCTGTGTCTCGGTGTCTCCACAATAAGAAACCCCCAGCCCTAGGCAGCTACATGCTACCAAAATAGCACCATTGTACATAGATTTGTGATGTAGACAAGCTAGCCCAAGCTCACCCCCATTCCACTGGAGAAAAAGGTGAGTGAGTGGAAGAAAGGGAAAGAAGGAGAGAGGGAGGGAAGGAGGGAGGGAGGGAAGGAGGGAGGGAGGGAAGGAGGGAGGGGAAGAGGGATGGAGGAAGGGGAGGAGGGAGGAACCATAGCATGGAAACATCAATGGTAGATGACCAGTTTACATGCTATCTGGAGAATGGCCAGACAGAAAAAGCAGACATTTAAATACATGGCCCATGTGAGCCACAAGGGCATCTGATAAAGCACACAGATGACAGAGACAGGGTCTGTTTCTGGACAGACAGACTAGCAGAAAGATGGAGCAGGGACTCTGCATGAAGGTGGGCATACATGCAAGTCTTGGCTCCCCACTTATAAGCCAGGGAAGTCTCTGGGCCTCTCTGAGGTTGCAGTTTCCTCACTGGTAAAGTGGCCATGAGAAGTTCTGGACATCTAGCTTTGTCGATGGCTGAGAGCATTATGGGATGTCCCAGGTAAAGCCCAGAGCTTAGTAGTGGTTCAAAGCAGAAGCCACTAGCAGTCCATCTCTTACTCAGTCCTCTGCATTTACTGAGATGATGGATGAATGGATGGAGGAGGGATGAGTGGATGGCAGACAGACAGATGGGTACGTTCTTCTTACCCATATATGAAGCTGAGTCCTGGCCTTGCCATTCATTGGCTGTGTGACCCCAATCATGTCACCCAACCTCTCTGAGCGTCACTCATATATTAGTGAGTGAAATTATTACTGTCAGAAACTCTGGCCATTCATTCCCAGCACACTGGGCAGGACGGGCTCTAAATTGAGCCGTGTTCAGCTATAGCATGATACCATCAAGCCCCTTGGCCTTCTGGCCCCTTTCCTCTCTGAAGGTCAAGAGAATAGGGAGGCATTAGGGTCCAAGGTCACTGGCTGGGTTGAGCTGGGCAGAGTGAGACTGAAGCCAGAGTGGGTGTTCCAGTGGTGAACTGACCCTTCCCAGACAGCCTAGCTGGGTCAGTGACTGGGTACAAATCGGTCACAGGCAGAAAGAGAGGGTCTCACTACAGCCTACCTCACACCCAGCAAGCATCTGCTGACCCTAGCAGCCAATAGAACAATCACTTGGGAACCAAAAGAGCTCACACCTGGGTCAGGTGCTTCTAGAAGGTCCTTTATAGACACTTTGCTCAATTTTTTGGGCTAGAGTCAATTGGCCTGGGCATCTTAAAGTAGGGAGTCCACTCACTAGCTTGTTGCTGGGATTCCAGTCAGACTCCAAGGACGAGATAAAATACTTCCACAGATGCCTGCCATCCAGAGCCCTGACGTGAGCACAGCAGATGTGCAAGCAATAATGGCCTTGAAACACACAGTGGATGCCATGGCCAGCAGAGAGCAGGGGCCCCCAGCAGCCCAGGAGAGTGAAGTCCCACAGGCAATGCTTGGCAGCATCCTTAGGCAGAAAGGGCAGAGAGGAGAAGCCACACACACCCTCCCATCTTCCTGGGAACCAGCCATTAGGGAGAACAGAGGCCTTAGCGGGTGGATAGAGAAAAGGCCCTCCTGTTAAAAATCCCTAGAACTGTACTATGGGACATTGCTGATGGAGAATACAAAGTCCCACCCAACCCCTACCCCAGAGTAAGTTTGTTAAGGGACACAGTTCCCAACAGGCCACAGATCCTACTCCAGGCCAGGCTATGGAGCAGGAGAAGCCCACTCCAAGTCCTTAATGTTGTGTGGGCCACTTTCAGCCCCTGGGGCTAGAGGGTTTAAAGGCAAACACCAAGCCATGGTCCCTGGGAGCAGACCCCTAGCATCTGTGACATTAACCAGCTCCCATCAGGACTATGACGCCATGCAAGGCTAAGGCCTGCTGTTGGGTAGCACAAGTCTGCCATCTCCACCACTCCTTCCCCCAGAGATTCCTGAAGTTCCCCCTCAGACAGACCCCCATCAAGAAGGTAGGAGTGACTGGGTGTGGTGGTACACACCCTTAGTCCCTACACTGGGAGGCAAAGGCTGGCAGATCTCTTAAGTCTGAGGACAGCCAGGTCTACAGAATGAGTTCCAGGACAGCCAAGGCTACACAGAGAAACCCTGTCTCAAAAACCCAGAGGATGGGGAGGTAGGAGTGGCCCTGGGTGATGAGGAAGGACCACAGGATGCCCAAGACACTAGAGTTTACTTGTCACCATCCAGAGCTGCAGAGCCAGACATGCCCTGATCTCTATGGTAATTCGGGGAATTGGGGGGGGGGCTGTTGTACAGCACCTCTTCTCTAAGGAAGCATATACCACCTTCTCTGAAAACAGGAAACAATTGCAGCCAGCCTGGGCTGCCTCTCCAGCCCTGGCACTGCAGGTGTAGCATACCACCACACTGAGTTTATGAGGCCCTGGGGAAGGGAGCCTTAAAGCCCTCTACCAGCTGACCACACCCCTGGTCCTTGTTATCAGTCTGAACAAACTGTCATACACAGCATCTCCTCCTAGACCATAAAGGTCCACCAAGTCTGGGTCAGGTCTTCCTGGACCCACACTAACCCTCATGACCTAAGGTGATGCCCTGGTACACAGTAGGGTCTTGAGAGCTCTGCTTTATAGTCAGTGAGCATTAAGCCCCTCCCCATGGCCTATCCTGAGAAGTCTGGGGTCCAGACAGTTGGGCTTGCTCAACACAAGGTTGAGGTAAGGTGTTCTGAACTATTCCAGGCAGCACTCCTCTCCCAGTGGGCACCTGAAACCCAGCAATAGGCAGGAAGGAATACTGTATGCCTTCCCAAGAAGCCAGTGGATGTGGCTCGAGCTAGCCATTAACTCCAGCCAGGCTGAGCCATATCCCTCACCCATGTCTAAAGGGAGCCCACCCATCACCTCTGGTCAGGCAGGGCCCTTACACTTCACCCACTGAGTCTCAGTCTCAGCATGGAACATGAGAGGAACAGGAGCAGCAAAGGAGATAAAGAACCAGATCTCTACCCCAGTGGCTCCTCCTGAAACAGGCAGGAGAAACGCTGCATGAGGCAGACAGCTGGGAAAGCAAATGTCGGTTCCCTGCTCACACACCACCATCACCTGGTCACTCCCCAGGGCAAATGGTACTGTGTGGGTCAGAGGATGTACCTGGTAGGGCAGGAAAACCAAACTGAATGAGCCAGTGACCAACTCTAATCATTTGGCTGGGCTTCCCGGACCACTGTGTTTAGAAGAGTTCTGAAGATCAATCTAAGCCCATGAACTCATGAGCAACTGACCTAGTCTGCATAGAAATGTGGGAGACAGGGGAGTACCTGCCTCCATTCCAGGTCCTCCACAGCCAAACGGGGGTCCCAGGCCACTTCCTGACTCGGGATGACCCAGGCCTATTGTTGATCATTCACCAAATATTGCTGGAAACTGATGGTGCCCAGATGAGGGTCTAGTGCCTGGCCCTCACCACCCATCTCCCTTCCTGAAGGAGTCTGGGTGCCCAGACCTTGAGAGATACCCCCAGGCTCCTCACCTTGGGCTGGAAGGACCCCCGGTGCTTGGTGGGCTCTGCTTCCGGCTTGGCCTCCTCCCCAGAGTCCTCACTGTAGCTCTCAAACTCGCTGGAGCTCCAGCCTAGGTCCTCAGCCTCACGCGGTGCTCCAGAGCGATGGACATCCTCGTATAGTAGACTCCGCTCTGCCCCTGCCAGCCAGGGACAACCTGGTGAGCCAGAGGCCCCAGCTACCCAGCTCTGGAACCCCAGTGGGTAAAGGCATCAGAAAGGGAGGGAGAATAGAGCAGGTGTACTGGTCTGGCCCCAGATTCAGATCCACTTCCTCAGAGGCAGTGCCAGCATGTCCCCTGCCTCTCTATGAGAGAGGGCCCGAGGAACAGGAACACAAAAGAAATATGCCCAACATGGAAGGCTCCTTAGTTCTCTCTTAAGATGGCATCCCTCTGAGAGCAGAGTGCTAACTCTTCAGCATTTTTTTCGGGAGAGAGGAAACCTCAGAGTCAAGTCTAACTGGAACCCTAGTGTGCTCCTGGGTTACTGGAGACTTCAAATGCATCAATGGGAAGACACAGGAAAGGGCTGGACTTCCTTAATGCTGTATTGCTTCCATGTGGTCTGCAAGGGTCCAGGAGGGGGCGCAGCCAGCCTAGAGTCCAGGAGAAACCCTCACTTTGAAAGATCACAAAAAATGCCTTAGACTGAGAAGTGGGGACAATAAACTGAGTGTCCTGTCTCTAGAAAGGCAGAACCCAACTGGGCACTTGTGTGCATGCGAGCATGCGTGTGAGCGTGTGTGTTGCCTCAGGAGCTGTCCATCTTGTTTTTCAATGTGGATCTATCAGGAGGACCTGAGGCTTGCCAATTTGACTAGGCTGGCTGGCGGGCAAGCCTAAGGGAGCTGCTACCTCTGCCTCCCTAGCTGTGGGATTACACCATGCCCTGCATGTTTATATGGGTTCTGGGGATCAAACTTTAACCCTCCTGCTTAGTAGCAAGTACTTCACCCCCAGTCATGGGGTGGTTATTTTTAAGCCAAGATGTTAGTGACTACCATCTCCAGGACAGAACAACAAGCCACCCTGTCTGTGACCTTGAGAAGGAGAGGCTGGGTGTGCTGTTTCTACATTGGCTATCCCCACAGCTATTGCCCAAGCAGATAGACCCTAGATCTGGGGCTGCCTAGAAGAAGACCCACTGTGACACCTCAGGACAGACAAGAGTAGGACTGGGTTGTCAGCTGCTTGACCTTTTTCAGGCGGGAAGTCAACATGAGGGGGCCCAGGTCAGACACTAGGACTGCCCAGCTTTGGAACACCTCCTACAAAGCCCTCCCTCCAAGCTCCATCAGCTATCTTCCCTAGGATCGGTGAGCTCCCAGCAGATAAGTGATGACCCAACCCAGCTTAGACCTGCTAAAGTGACGCGAACATCACTGGCCCATCTGTCCCTTTTCTTGGGACAGGAGACAGGAGAGTCTCAAAGGCCCTCTGGCCTTGCTATTGTCTATGTGCTCCCCATGGTACTGTCTATTGTCCAAGGACGGTCACTGCTGCCCCATCAGACTAAGGGCTACTCAAAAGCATGGGTGATGTTTCTTAACTAGGTGGGGATCCCCCCATCCCAAGAAACAGAACAATGTAGTTTTTAAAAAGTCATCCTATATTCAAATCCTAGCTGTGTGATCTGAGTCTTGGGTCTTGACCTCTCTGATGCATATGGAACCACAAGCCCTACCCTGCCTTTCTCAAGGGTCGGACCCTGCAGGAGAATCAAATGTGCTTCATCTGTCAAAAAATGCCACCCTGATCCTCCCAGGGGAGGGGCGGAGCGCTAGACTTGAATTCCAGCCTGGCCTCTAACCTCTCCTCATCCGTAAAATGAAGACATAAAACCCCTAATCACAGGTTACATGGCAACATGTGAAGAGTCAGCCTGGAGCCTTTAAAGGGGTGTGTGTGCCTGTAATCCCAGCTGACTTCAGAAGCAGATGATGGAAGGTGAGTTCAAGGCTGGGCACAGCTACATGGCAGGGCCCTGTCTCAAAGCACTAAGGGTTTTGAGATATGTCTCATGCATAGAGTGTTAGCATGCACAAAGCCTTGGCGTTGAGGCACTTTGTGTGTGTGCCCATGTATGCATGTGTACATATGTGTGTTTCATGTATGCATGTGCACATGTGTACACATACATGCATATGTGTATTGGGCTGCCTGGCTCAATGTGTCTCAATCCCCCTACACACACACACACACACACACACACACACACACACACACCCCACCTGTCCCTCTTCCATCTTCAAATCAGAGCAGAGCGTCCCTGGCTCACCCTGCAAGCAGAATAACCTGTCGGCTTCCACCACTGGCCTGGAAGCCTACACAGCTAACTCATTTTCCCTGGAGTTAACCAAGGCTTTGGGAAGCAATCTTCTTCGGGGACTCATGGCTTAATGTCATCCTACCCAAGACCCCAAACCCTGTCCTGCCCAGTGTGCCCAGGCCTGAGGTTATGGCAAATCTCTGCTTATATGTCTCCAGGGGTAGGAAAGATGGGGACTGAGAACACTGGGGGCAGAAGGAAGAAGAAGAGACCCTCCTAAGCTCAGCTCTCCCTCCCTGACCCAGAGAATGGCCAGGAAGGAAGCCAGAATAGGCCGTACCGGGCTGATGGACGTCTGGGCCCTCACAAGGCACGTCGTCATAAATCACATCTTCATCCACAGCGGGGAAAGTGAATCGGTCGACTGGGGACAGAGGGGACAAAGGTCACCCAAGTGGCACATGGTGACCAACCAACTGGTAGCCATCTGTGGATCCTGACGTTCACCACTGGGGACATAATTCACTGCCTTCCTCTGGCCCACCACAGACCCAACTTGCCTCCCTGCCACCCACAGACCTCTGCCCAGGCCACAGCACATACAGGGAATCCCTACACAGATGCCTAGCCCCAGGACGGGCAGAGCAGAGGTTGGGGAATCTGTCCTGACCCTGGGCCTCCTAGAAAGGTCCTAAGCCCTAAGGGATGCCTTCCCGAGTCCTGCATCATCCAGAGTCTGGCCAGGCTCTGTCCCTGATACCCTCTTCTTCCTCCCTCCCATCTCACTCTCCAGTGGATCCAGATGGGCCACCCCTGTCCTGAATTGTTGTGATGGTCATCACTAGTCCTGCCCCTTCCCCTTTGTCTCATTCTTTCACCCATCCCCTGTGAAATGATGAACCACAAATGTGATTCATCTTTGGCAGAGGTTCTCAGGGAAGCTGGAAAGCTGGCATCCTGCTTCACCCCTAAACGCATCACTCTAACATGAACCACTGGTAACGCATCCCCTGGAGCCAGGCATCCCCTGGAGCCAGGCTCGTATAGATGCTGCCCCTCTCACTTGTGTGGGAACCACCTGCTCCTGAGTGTGATTCTCCTCGCAGAGGGCCTGTCTGTCTCAGCCACCGGGGAGCTAACTCTGGTCAGCCTCTTGCTGGAGCCTCTGAGAGCAGGTGGACAACTGGATTACGGATCTACAACTCTGGCAAGTAGTGAGCCGGGCAGTCCACTACAGACAGCCACCAAGTCTGCGGTAACCCACTTAAAATGAATGTCCTCTTGGCTCTCAAGCACCCATGCCAGCTCTTAACCTAGAGACTAGGAGACAATCTTGGTTCTACCTGGGGTGGGTGGCAGATGGGGGCGGGAGCAAGAGGGGAGAAACTTACTGCGACGTGAGCTCTTCCGCTTCCAGCTAGAGCGCCGAACCCCAGAGAAAGCTGCACCCACGGCATCCCCATTGCTGACCACAGCGGGTGCCCTGCAGAGAGATGGTTCAGTGAAACTTCAGCCCCTCTCCACCCTGGAAGGATGGTGACTGTGGAGGATGGCTTAGGATTAGGCCCTCGGGTCATCTAAACTGGCTAGCCTTCAAAAACAAGTAAACCTTGGCTCTGATTCAAGACTGTATTTTGCACTTTTTTTTTTTAAAGCAGGAGTTCAATTTTTTAAAGATTTATTTATCTATTTTATGTATGAGTACTCCATCTGCATGTATACCCTTATGCCAGAAGAGGGCATCAGATCCCACTAGAGATGGTTGTGAGCCACCATGTGGTTGCTGGGAATTGAACTCAGGTCCTCTGGAAGAGCAGCCAGTGCTCTTAACCACTGAGCCATCTCTCCAGCCCCTGGTTCAAGACTATTAATGTTACAAATTGCAGTGTTTTTACTGTGCATAGAGTTCTCTGCTCTTATAAAAAATACACTGTTTCATCACGGAAAGCAAAGTCTTCATTTACCTCACCGAATTTCTCAGCACATAAATACCAAAGCATTCTCTTTAGGATTGGATTACGTTTGGTTGTTTGGCTTTAAAAATTGCTGGGTTGAATTTCATTTAAATAGAATCACGATACGAATTTTGACCTGGGATAATCTTTAGCAGTCCCTGAAACGGCTTTAAACATTCTGCTGTTTTGTACTCCGTGTCTACGTGAAACAGCAGAGTGGTCTCAGCACTGATGTCTGTAAAATCAAAACGGCCAACCACCTGTGAGAGACAGTAACCCTGTGGACTGCTGCAGCCAGCATTTACTAGAGATTTAAATCTTCACAAACAACTAAACAAGCACACCTACCTCATTAGTATGCAAATGTTATTTATGTCTTTAACCGTTAGTAAGATTGTACATATGCTAGGGGATAGATAAATACATGTCTTAATGATCTATCTTTGCTAATGTGGTGTGTATAACTATTTATATACCTCTGTATCCAAGGTGGGATATAACTTTCCCAGGTGAGAGGGGATCGTGATTTGGAAAAAGTTTAAAGGACTTTTAACCTAGTATCCAGGCTGAGAAACAGGCTCCCTCACTTACTCCCGCAGACCACTGGGCTAATTAGAGGTTGACTAAACACAAGTCTGTCTGCTGAGAGTACCGTGTCCTCCCACTATTCAAAAGCTATGACTGAGGACAGGTGAGATGGCTCAGTAGGTAAAGATGTTTGCTGCCAAGTTTGATTCCCAGAACCCACACAGTGGAAAGATCTGACCTCCTTAAGTTATCCTCAGACCACACACACACACACACACACACACACACACACACACACACACCACAAATACATATACAAATTAAAAATACAAATGAACAAAAAAATTTAAGCCACTTTTAAAGCTGAGGCTTGCATTTAAATCTTCACCTACTCCCCAGACCCACTGTGTCACACAAGACCCTACCCTACTCTACCTGTTGTGGTGGTTTGAATGAGAACGGCTTCCGTAGGTTCACATATTTGCATGCTTGGGAGATGAGCTGCCAGGGAAAGACTAGGAGGTGTGGCCTTGTTGGAGGAGGTGTGTGTCACTGGGGGGTGGGCTTTGAGATTTCAGAAGCCCATGCCAGACCCAACCTCTTTCTCTGCTGCTGCCTGCAAATCAAGATGTCAGGATGCGGCTCTCAGCTACTGCTGCAGCACCATGCATGCCGCCATGCTCCTGCCATGCTGACAACAGGCTAACCCTCTGAAACTGTAAGCAAGCCCCAGTTGAATGCTTTCTTTAATGAGACTTGCCTTGGTCATGGTGTCTCTCTTTACAGCAATGGAACAGTGACTAAGACAGAAGTTGGTACCAGGAGTAGGGCATTGCTGTGACAGCCTGACCATGCTGCTTGTTGGCAGGATGTGAACTTGGAACTTTGGACTGTAAAAGCAGTTGAATACTTTAAGTGGGGCTTACTATGCCATCCTAGCAGAAACATGGACAGCGGTGCTGAGGGTGATGGGAACAATGGGGGCCCAGCTCGAGAAGTTTCAGAGGGGAAGAATATTAGCAAGTGGACTAGAGAACATGCTAATGATATTTTTACAAAGAACGTGCCTGGTTTTTGCCCTTATCAAGAAAAAAATCTGTCAGAGGTTAAATTGAAAAGTTTTAGATTAATGGTGTTGACAGAGATTTCAAAACAGTACTAGTACTGACTGTGTCATGTGGTTATTAGTGATCACTCTTACGCAGTTCTATAATGAAAAGGAACAAGCCAATAAGCAGCACCCTCCAGGGCCTCTGCGTCAGCTCCTGCCTCCAGGTTCCTGCCCTGCTTGAGTTCCTGCCCTGACTTCCTTCTATGATGAACAGTGTTGTAGAAAAGTAAGCCAAATAAACCCTTTCCTCCCGCATTGCTTTTGGTCCTGGTGTTTCATCACCGCAATAGAAAGCCTAACTAGGACACATGTTTAACCATTATTTTTTATAAGGAACGCAAGAACAAGCACTCAGCATAGAATCACAAGCACAGGCTAAGTCTCCATCCCTGAGCCCTGGTTTATGGCCCTGCCAAAGCACACAGGTTGAAATGCTTGCCCACAAACAGGCGGTGGTGGCACACACCTTTAATCCCACCACTCAGGAGGCAGAGGCAGGTGAAATCTGAGTTCAAGGCCAGCCTGGGCTACAGAGCGAGTCCCAGGGCTACACACAGAGAAACCTTGTCTCAAAAAGAAGGAGGAGGAGGAAATGCTCAACCATAGGGGACAGTGAGAGGAGATGGCATTTGGGGGGAGGAGATTAGGTAACGAGACGGAGACCCACAAAAGGAATCAGTGACCTTACAAAAGAAGCCATCAGCAGCCCCTTCCGTCTTCCACCGTGAGAGTTCACAAGAAGATGACAACCATAGGTGAGAAAGTGCCCCCACCCTGAAGACTCTCAATCTCCTGCTGCCTTAATCTTAGCTTCATCTTTGCTTCTACACCCCTGAGGGAGACAAAGCCTGGCTACAGTAGAATCGCCTGGCCTGCACCTGCCAGGCTTGGCCACTCCACCAGTGCAGGTGAGAAAAGATGGGGAGAAAGCTGGAGTGTGCAATCTGACAGAGGTGTTCGCCCAGGCTGGACAAGGCCTTGTGTGCCCCTCCTCCTCTCAGACCACTGATGACCTGCACTGTCCTGCCCGCCCCACCCACGCCTTCAGCCTCACGCACAGTAGGCACACAGTGATGCCCAGGCTCCAGAGCTATGAGAGATAACATCTATTGTTCATGACGGCGCCTCCCTCATCCCTCTTCCCCTCCCTCTTCTCTCTTCTTCCTTGCCTTCCTTCTTTGTGCAGGAAGGGCCCCCAGGTCTAACAGGTGCCAGGCAATTATGCCACCACTATGCTGAATACATAGGTATTGCCTCATAGTAAGCCAGACCGGCACTGCCCAAGAGAAAGCCTGGCAGCCAACTAACGGCAGATCCTGCGGAGACTTTGAAGTTGACCTTAAGGTGGGGCCAGGCATTACAGGGTGAGGTCAAGTAGCTTTAGAGGGACCTGGAAGTACCAGGAGCACTCTACATGCCACAGGGAGGCTGAAGAATGAGCCTCCTGGCTGTGTGTTATCAGAGCAAAGGAAAGAGCAAACACAGGTCCTGGCCCTATGGCTATGGGCCAGATGCAAGGTGTCATCTACACACAGGGTCACCTTCCTGCCCACCTCCACTGCCCAAGCCTCCTGGTCAGTAGGAAAGAACACAGCTGAGATCTGAATGCTGAGGGATAATCCTTCTGTACACTTTGAATATGTATCCCATTGGTTAATAATGAAACTGTTTCACCAATAGCCAGGCAGGATAAGACTAGGCAGAACAATAGAGTTAGGGGACACATGAGCCCAAGAAACAAGATGCCAGAGGACTGGTAAAGCCACGGCCACATGGCAATACATAGATTAATAGAAATGGGTTCATTTAAATGTAAGAACTAATTAATAATAAGCCTGCACAATTCGCCAAACATTTATAATTAATATAAGCCTCTGTGTGGTATTTTTGGGAAGCGGGCTTCCAGGAATTTGGGAACAGGCAGGCAGGAGACAAAGCAAGGCTCCACTTACACAAAACCAAGCTGACATTCTTGCAAAGCTTTTGTTTGTTTGTTTGTTTGTTTTGTTTTGTTTTGTTTCAAGCTGGGGGTGGTAAGAGAGGGTCCAGTAGCCAAGGGTCTAGTAGCCCAGGCTGACCTCAAACTCATTATATAGCAAAGATGACTTTAAATTCCTGATCCTCCTGCCTCTAGCTCCTAAGGACTGAGATTATAGGCAAGCATCACCATACTTGGTTTATTCCGTGCCAGGGATGGACTCCAGGGCCTTGTACATGCTAGGCAAGCATTCCACAACTGAGCCACATCCCCAGCCACTCCTGCAAACCCTTGCTCCGGGGGCCAGCTCTTTAGCCCACTAACTAAAGATGGTATTCCCAGACAAGCAAGAGGGAAAGGGCTCCCCAAAAGTGGCAACACTCCAAGCACACATCCAGACTCAGGGTTAGTGTACAAGGAAAACATGGCAGGAAATGAGCCCAAGGCACCTCCTCCCCTGTGCCCAGCCTGTTCCCACAGGGACAACCCCTCCCAGGTGCTGCCCCAGAAAACCACCCAGGGCCCTATCACTCCCAGCTGGAATGGACCATTTACCCAGTGAGCAAATACTCCTTCTGAACCTCCTTCAAGTCTCCGGATAATGAATAACCACCATAAAAACCCATGAGAAGCTCATTGTCTCGGCTTCATGCACACTTCCTCGTGCACTCCTGAGACCTCATGCCTTGCACAGGAGACAAGGCCTGACTACAGTTATGCCACATGGCCTGCACATGCCAGGTGAAGCCACTTATGATGATGATGAGGGCTGGGAGAAGGTGGGGCGTATCAATCAGAAAGAGGAGTTCATGCAGTCCTCCCAGCAGCCCCGAGGCCCCGTGTGCCCCTCCTCCTTTCTCAGAGACAGCAGTGAGCTGCTCTGTCCTGCCTGCCCCATGCACTGTCAACAC